ACGAGTTTTGGTCTTTCCCACTCTGTCTTCCTCTTGGTCTTGGTCTTGGTCTTGTGAAAGAGTATTGAAGTTACATATTAGCTTATAACTGTAGAGATATTACAGTAATTATTCATATAGGATAAACCTTACTAAGCACGAATGAAAAATTAGAAGAGTTAAATGGAAAAGTATATTGGCTGAACCAATCCTGAACATGCAGTAACTAAAATTTTCCAATATTAATTAGTAACTATTTTGCCTTAATTTTTATTTTAAAAAATTATTTTTCCTCACTAGTCTTGGTCTTGGTCTTGCAACAGTTAGGCAGTCGCGGACCGGTTTTTTGCGACGCTCATGATTCTAGAAAAATTTTCAACAAAACTTTTTATTAATGGACCGATTCCGAAAGGAAAAGGAGTTAAGACCAATTTTGTGTGGTCAGGTTTTTTTTTATTGAATAAGAAGAAGTTGCTCAAAAACCATTCAAGATAATTAAATTTTAAGTACACCATCGTAATAATAATAATAATAAGGCTTGGCGGACCCGAAGGTTCGATGCCGATACCACCAATCGCTTGTTATACATCTCCCTCCACCGTTCGCCGTCCAAACCCAGTCCCTTCAGATCGGTTTTAATGCAATCTTCCCACCTTCGCTTCGGTCTACCCCTCGGACGCTTACCATTCGGCACAGCAAATATTAACCTTTTAGGAATTCTCTCGTTACTAAGCCCAACAACTTTACAAGCCCATTTGATTCGCCGCGATGAAATTACCTCAATTATATTACCCGGATACAGCACACGCAATACGGCGTTGTGTAACCGTCTGAACTCTCCCGGTTAACTCATCCTTCTTCGGTCCGAATATTCTACGCAATACTTTATTTTCAAAAACCTTAAGACGCTGCTCATCCCTTAATGTAAGCGGCCAAGTTTCGCATCCATAAAGAACTGTAGGCAAGATAATTGTTTTATAGATTCTAATATTTAAGTTCGGGACAAGAGGCGAGAACTAAGTAGTTTTGTCACAGAAAAATAACAAGCATTTCCCGCCTTCAGTCTTAACACCATCGTAAGGCAGACAAAATTTTCAATGAGAAAACAGTGATTAGGTTTACTAAGATCAATGATAAAAGGGAATTTCAGGAGGTCAAATACGGTCGCTGTAGAGAGATATACTGCTCGTGTGTGGGTACTTTAACAGCAGCAATACAGCGGCAGTTTTAGACCTCCTTAAAGTCCCTTTTTTTTTATTGAGCTTAATAAATTTAATCACTGTTTTCTAAAAAAAAATATCTACTTTACGATGGTGTACTTAGAATTTTATTATCTTGAACAATTTTTAAACAATTCCTTTCTTGTTCAATATAAAACCTGACCATACAAAATTGTTCTTAACTCCTTTTCCTGTTCGGAATCGGCACATTCAACAAATGAACTTTTTTGTTGGAAATTTTGTCTAGAATCATCCCTCATCTCTTCCTCAGAGTTTAGCCATTAGAACGGAGACACCCTATATATATATATACATATATATATATATATATATATATATATATATATAATAATATTATATATATATATATATATATATATCATATATATAATATATATATAATATATATATATATATATATTATATAATATATATATATATATATATATATATATAATATATATGTATGAATGTGCTTTTTTTTTTTTTTCGTTTTTACACATTTTATTCTTAATAATCAGAATTCTCATAAGTGGACACTTCTGTCAAGCAGACAAAATTTCTATTCACAACGTTCTCCGATTATGGGAAATTGAACTGTATTTGTACTTGGATAAGCGAGGAATCACAGTTTCACTATCATAACTAATAATATTTCTTGTTAAGTAAATTAGTGCCTACTTTTTTTTAATATAGTTTTGTTTAATATTGTAAATAAATAATAAATTAAATGAGTACCTATGTATTTTTATGAGCCTAGGATGCTGAACAAAAATACGCAAATTCTTCGATGTTAAAATCCATTACCTGTAACATAAAGAAACAAAAAGTTAATATTTCAAAATTTACTAAATAAACAAAAAAAAATTAAACTTTGTAACTGGCATTATTTTATGTTAATACTTGCAAAAAATAAGAAAACTGAGGAGCTGACATTCCAATATTAAAAAAGGTCGCGGGGCAGCTGACGTTTCAACCTAACAGGGGAATTGTAATGATAGGTGGAAGTAGATAGGGATTGTACAAGGGGATTATTCGGATGATGTGTAAGGTACTGGTGAAATTTGGAGTATTTTTTTTTGGGGGGGAAGAGGACGTAAGGTCTAAGACGAATAGAATATTTAAGTCATAGTTCAGGGTTTTGTTTGTTACACAGAACGCCCATCACTATTTTTTGAAGTAGTTTGGACTGGGAGGATCTGATGCGTTTGATACAAGAAAATGGAGAGCACCCCACGGTTCCTTCCTAATTAGTTATTAAAATAATCGAAATTAAAAAAAAAATTATCATTTAATCATGATCATTTTATTGTAATAAAAAAAAATACATTTACTGACATCAGCCGACACTTTTTCAGTACTAACGTCGTCAATTGATGTGTAGAATCGGGGTCTAAACTTTCCTGGTATTTATTTGATACTTCCTGTATCACAGGTGAGAATATAAAAGGTTATTTACCCCAACTAGAGCTTGACGGGAATTTTTTTCACTAAAAGGAACTGACTGGTTCTCAGAATTTCCATCCAGAGGATATAATTTTATCACGTGTTTTGTCAAAAGGGGTTAGTCAACCTGGAAAATTTCATGCTCTAATATATATGTATATATATATATATATAATATATATATATATATATATATATATAATATATATATATATACACATATATAAACTCTAATTCAAATTATAAACATAATCATACCATTATATAAAATGAGAGACCGGTAATTCGTTTGTAACCACAAGCCACGAAAATAATGGACCGATTTACGCGATTTTTTTTTGTATAAGTCACTGTTGTTATGAGAAGGTTTTAAGCACTTGAAACCCTCGATCAGGATAGTAAAAAAAAAAGTTAAAAATATTTTTGATCCACTGGGTGTTTAGAGAGTTTAAAATAATTTTCGTAATCGCATGCTGCAGTTGATAAAAATGCCATCGAAGCGACAAATATCAACCATCGCACAATACATTTATCCAAGAGAAAGCTAGAAGAAAGGTAAAATGAAACAGAAGAAGGAATAGCAGAACAAAATATGGATGTCTGAAAATAGGTAGCCACGAAAACTAGTGAAACAATCTTTAAAAAATTCTAATTAAATCATAATTATAGTTCCGGATTTGGCAATATATATATATATATATATATATATATATATAAATATATATATATATATATAATATATATATATATATATATATACACACAAATCGACATTTCGGAGAACTCCATTATCAAGGATCCATTATAAAAAAAGTATAACTTAACTACATTAATCTCTGTCAATAAATAAATATAAATTCTAAATCATCGCTCACATCGAACATATGTTTAAAAAAAACTTTCATCCTTATCTATAGTCAGGCGGATCTATGGGGGAGGGGGTACTTTCGGACTGAAGCCCTCCCAAAATGGTAAAATGTAACCATGTTTTAAGGAAAAAAATGATCTCTTAAAGTATTATAGTTCGTGTAATTACATTTAAAAGGACTTCAAGAATGACTTAAACGCATAGGTAGTTATATCTTTCTTTTTTTTTCATAGTTATTATCGTTATGAAAAAAAAAAAAACACATTCTGGCTGAAGCCCCCCAAAATTAAATTCTGGATCAGCCAGTGCTTATAGCTTCTAATTTTCCCTGAACTAAAATCCATTGTCATATTAATCAGTAGAAATAAGGCCTAATTCTCTTTCTCATTATCATCTTTTGTCATATTAATTAATTAAAACATATTTTTTCATTGTCTCTAGAAAGTTTAACTATAATAAAGTTTAACTATAATATATATATATATATATATATATATATAATATATATATATATATTATATATAATATATATAATATAGGTATATAGATAGATAGATAACAGTAACCAGAGAAGTTCATGAAAAAAAAACCTAATAATTCTTTAATTATTAAGTCAATCGTTTACGACAAAGAAAAAAAAAATTAATAAAATAACAAAATTTAACTTATTTCAAATTCTACAGTAAAAATACCATTTGCTATAAATTAGTTAGTTCTCAGAACTGTTAAAAAATATAAGAACATATTAATTAACAAATATTCTTCGAGTTTTAACAGTTAGTATAGGAGATCGGTTTGAGAGCAGATATTGACTGTATACATTAGAATAGATAATGACTCTGCTCCTTGAGGGAAGCCTGTCGCTAAATTTAATTGGTAACCCTAAACCAGACTGTCTAGCAATATCATAATTAAACAATTAATTAGTACCAATTAATTTTGCCATTATCATCACTAGTGTATTTATCCATATAATATTATATGTGAATATAACGATAATGAGCATTTATAATTAAATACTAAATTTCATATTTTGATATGATATATTGGTGTTCGAAATGCCAATTGGAAAAATCGAGTATACATATAATCCCCGTATTCTACTTTCAGTTGAGTTCTAACGATTCATAGATAATTATTTAAACAATTTAATACCAGTGAAGTGGTTATGAGAGAAGCGCAGGGATCTCCTGAAGCCTATCTCTCCCCTCCACTTCTGGGAGGGGGGACAAGTCTGGTTCGTAGTTCCCCTGGCCGATTGTAAATGGTGTATAAAGGTATGGCTGCGTCCAACATCTTTATTTTTATTTTTTAAGAACATTTTATTTTACTTTATTTATTTATTTAAATTATTATTATTATACTTTATTTTTTGACACTTTAAAAAAAAGGTATTTTCCTGGAGTAGGGAAGAATTAACTTCAACCACTTCACCTCAAAATTTGTAGTTCTATTGGATATTTATGAAGCTCCTTACGATTCTCGCAATGTTCATCAACACAGCTTTCTGGGCTTCATTTATTGTGGCTGTTGAGAGTCACAGCTTCTCGGTAGCTTCTGCAGTGTATTTTGGAATCAGCCCATTGCTAGAGATCACTAAAGCCCTTACAGTCACTTTGTTCAGTCTGTACAAATCTTTTAACTCGGCTGCAAGAGTTTGATATTTCCATTATTTTTTTTTCGGTGCATACTGAGTTGGTGTTACCATCATTTGGCACAGCGATATCTATTATCTCAGATGTCTTCATATTACTATTGATCAACACGATATCAGATCTGTTATAAAAGATTAATTCCAGTACAATTTCATTCCTTCCTTCTGGATAAGTTCTTTAGAGTTTTAATTTCAATAAGGTATCAAATCATTCACTGACCTGACCAATTGACCGATTTTTGCAACATCGTCATATTCCTAGAGATATTGTGTACCATTGGATACATATATTATCTATCCTTCCTATTACAACAATTGTTACCATTTATTTACTTCAGTTTAGGATCTTGTTACTTAGTTTACTCTGTTTATATAATTTATTGTTCTTAATATTTCAATGTGCTTACTGTTTATAATTTTAATAATCCTTACAATCCAAAATCCTCAACGCTCCTTACTTTGTCACAAATAAAATCATCCATAAAGACCTTAATGTTCCATATGTTTCCGATTTGGCCCAATCCAGATACCTATCCTTCCAAACAAACTCCAGAACCATCCGAATCCTCTCGTTTCAAACCTTACTTCCTCCTCGATCCTGATAACCCTCCGAGGCGTCTGAAAAGAAGATGGCCTCGTGATCTACTGTAAATATATTATTAGAGTGCTACCAATGGATAGTTTCTCAACAAGCATTTTGATGTGATTGTATTATTACTGTGTGCACATTTACTACTTGTATTTTTTTTTATAATACAGTTGTAAATATCAATGAATAAAAATAAAAAAATAATTTCAATAAGTTTATTCATCTTGTTTATAATGTTTATCTAAATATTATGTAACTTCCACAATTTTCTGTATCCTTTTGTCTCTTGTTCGTTTTGGCCCTGAAGAAGACCTGCAAAGTCGGGTCGAAACGTTGGCCTAAAATAAAATAGTTTTTCCACTATTTTAGTCTCTTTATGACCGCTCCTCCCCCCCCCCCCTCCGGACCATCACTTCCTCTCAAATATACAAAGGTCAACCATTAAGTATTCAATAAAAAAAAAAAAATGTTTCATTCAGGCTTTAGATGTGTTCCACCACTCCATTACCGGATATTATATAAAATATGGGAAGAAATAATGCTAATTCGTCAAGAGTTGATTAAATTTCACCTCCAAAAAGTCCGTTAAATCTGTGGCGTAGAGAAATGAATCCCTTTCGTTGTTATGAGTGACACACGTACACGCCAGGACAATTTCTCCAGAGTCCACAGAGAAAGTCAAACTTGAAGGAGTAAAAGGGCTAAAAGTAAGGAAAAGGGAGGGAGAAGACAAGAAGAAATCTGTAAGAGAAGAATGTAATTTGACGGGGCTGGAGTCGAAGGACTTAGGCCATCTGATCCAATCCGCAGGACCCTTCCTTCCAGCGGCAAATCCCATGACTTCTGCATGAGCTTAACAACGCTTCGCTAAACACCCCCCTCCATTCCTTCCTCCGCTTTCTTGTTATGGTTAATATCAACCCTAGGTTAGTTTTTGTAATATTAGCTATGCAGAATAAACTGTTACACTTCAAAGGAAATGAAGCATTAATATTAACACATATTCGCTCGCATGGTGAAAATTCGTCATCTCAAATCACCCACACTCAAACGACGAAAAAAATTTTTTTCTTGAGTAGACAGATTTTTTTTCATTTATTGAATAATAATACAATCAGCCACTGTTGAAGGGCTATAATTATTAAGGCTAAAAGTTCTCATTCATACAATATATACAAACAATAGAGAAATAATAAATATAAAAAAGTAAATAAATAAGATAAATAAACAAACAAAATAAAATAAAAACTTCTAAACACATTCATAACTATATACGATATATAAATTCGCCCAGGAATCTCCGAGCCAGGGATTTTCCCCCCACATGTGGAAGGCAAAGCAGGACTCCAGGAGATCCCAGTGCCACTTTTCCAGCCGCATCACTAGTATTAGAAGCCAGTGGAGACTGAAAGAGGGCACTAGAGCCTAAACGATGAAAATTAGTTATTTGTATATTACATAAAATAAAATAATTGATTCCTTATTTGTTTTTTGAAACTTAAGGAGTAAAACTTTAAAGTGATCAACGCCTGTAAATTACTTTTGTTTATTTCTGACCTAAATTTGATTGATTCTTCTTCTTTTAATTCTGAATAAATTAAATTCTAATGTTTACCAAACATAGATAAAGAAATAAAGGCTGTTCAAAAAAATACGGAATATGTGTTAATCAACCCTATATAGAATAAGGCAGTAATAGAGACGTACCAACCCCTACGTTTTAAAAAATGTTCTAATTTTGTGATAAATAGTAATTCTTGCCGAATAACGCCATGAGTGCTTTGGATACTATGGAATACTTATCACGTTTTGTTTAGATTTAAAAAAATAGAATATTTCTGTTTATGATAGACTTAGAAAAAGTTTTATTTTACTAGGGTGTATATTCAAATATATTCTTTCATTTGTATTTTATCACATTTAATTTTTTTTATTATTTTATCTTATTAATATTGATATTGCATAAAGTAAAGATATTATTTAAAAAGTAGCTATGCATAACATGCAAATAGTACGCGGTTTCGTTTGGGGTATGTGCACTACAAATAAACTCTTCTTACATATCGTTAATAAGCAAGAGGAAAAAACTCTCTCTCTCTCTATATATATATATAATATATATAATATATATTATTTTTATATATATATATATATTTTTTTTTTTTTTTTTTTTCTTAAATACAACATTTTCTGGTAGTAATTTTCTGAAATTCGCAAACCATGCTAAGTGTATTACAAATACTATATGGTAGACATTATTGATTTAAATATTTATAATGCACAGACTTTACATTTTTATTTATACCGCGAACATATAGGACCAAAATATAAATAAAATTTAATACCGAGATTAAAATAAAATTCATTCTTTTTCGAATGATAAATAATTTTCGCAACAGGAAACCAAGTTAGCTTCAAGAACAGGCACTGACAACTTGTAGAATTACATGGCTGGCTTCTCTCTTCCGCAACCAGAGGCAATATTTTCTTTCCTTATGGTTAAATTAATTTTAACGCTATTTTCATATACATGTTAAAAATTAAAAAAAAAAAAAAAGAATATATATATATCATCTCACAGAAAAATAATAAGCATTTCCCGCTTGTTATTTTTCTGTGAAAAAACTACTTAGGTCGAGCCTCTTGTTCCGGGACTAAAAAATTAGAATATATAAAACCATTACCTTACTTACAGTTGTTTATGGATACAAAACATGACCGCTTACATTAACGGATGATTAACTTCTTAAGGTTTTTGAAAATAAAGTATCGCGTAGAATATTCGGACCGAAGAAGGATGGGTTAACCGGGCAGTTCAGACGGTTACACAACGTGGAATTGCGTGAGCTGTATCCGGTTAATATAATTGAGATGATTTCATTGCGGCGAATCGAATGGGCTTGTAAAATTGTTGGTCTTGGTAACGAAAGAATTCCTAAAAGGTTAATATTTGCTGTACCGAATGGTAAACGTCCGAGGGGTTGACCGAAGTGAAGGTGGGCAGATTTCATAAAGCCGATCTGAAGGGACTGGGTTTGAACGGCGATGAATGTTAGAAATAAAATACTAATAAATTTTAGTATTTAAAAGAGAAAATGCAGTTACAATCTATTATATTTTACTTCTTAAAAACGAAATAAAAAAAGTGTATTTTTTTATATTTTAAAATACTTTATTTAAAAAACTTCCTCGGTCTACTAGCAACCAACTTATATTTTTATGTAGTTATACATCATTTTCCGTCCCTTAAGATGGATAGAGTTATTGAGGTAGTCGTTTTTTTCTTTCACTTACTTCAATTATGCAATATATTACTGCATAATAAGAGTAAGTATTGCGATCGTGAAATTTTTTTAATCTGAATTTTCAACGAAAATACATGTTTTGAGGTCTCCTGAGTCTAATTAATAAAGTTCCGCAAAATGGTCTGTGTGTATGCATGTGATCAGTCTTGCTCAAAAACGAAAAGTCGTATGAAAATGAAATTTCATATTTAAGGTTTGTATATACTTTGGATGCCACAGCAACGTTTTCGTAAAAAATCGACTTAAACCAGAAGTGGCATTTTATATAAATAATAGTTAAATATAAAATATGAAAGAATTTGATAATTAACTAAAGGAGAAATAAAAGATCGTACCCTACGTAGCTTAATATCATACGGACTCCGACAATATTATGTACATTTACCTATAAGGTTTTCATAATGCTATCGTTAGTATTATTTAATATTTAATTGTATAGATCACTGCGATATAAAAATTAAAATTTGTATATGTAAGTATAATTAAACACATACAAATACCCACAATGAAATGTAAATAAGTATAGCGTCTATAAGTTTTACTTTCAATTCCCTTTTGGCTGAAAATACTTAATTCTGCTAAGAAGAGGGTGGTAAGAGAAATTCGTGTGATGCGAAAACCAGATTTTTTAAATTTAATTTAAAATATTTATAATTAATTTGATTTTTTTTTTCACATTCGACAATCTTCGTTGTTCTAGAAATCGAATATTTGATTAATATAAAAAAAAAAGATTTTGATAAAATGATTCGGGGATCGAAAAAGGTTTAAGCTGGAAAAGGAAGGGAAGAGCTGCAATAACTTACGAGGAACAAATTAGAACAAACCTATATTGGCGAGGAGATACTGTAACTACTATGTGATTTATTTTGTATTACTCAGTGTATAGGAGTTAGTGCTGGGTAAATTGTAAGATACATTTTGTTTGGATGTTTACTGTTTTCAATAATATTTTCTGGGTTCTTAAATTTTACTAACTGTTTTGCTATCTATACTTTAACTGATTATGAGTTAGATATTTTAATTTAAAAAAACAAAAACATTCCTACCAATTCGAAGTCGAATTTCTATGCGCTGCAGACTTCACAACACCAAGTTATCTTAATTTTATAATTATATTAAATGCGTATTTTTTTTTTCAAATAATGTAAACAAAACTATAAATGATCCATCGTTTCTTGTAATAAAATATCGATTGCTCTAAATTATGAATTATGTTATAAACTATTTTTTTTAAAAACTAAATTAGTTATAGACTAAAACATATATGGCTCAACGCCACTTGAAGTCAAATAAACAAATCTAGAAAAATGGTGTGAGAGGTTTAAAATGTTTCCCATTTTTTTCTTCTAAAGTGTTTTTAATTTCATTACATTTAATTTTTAAAAAAAGGATCAATGTTTTTATTTAATTAAAAAAAAATAATTTTAACAAGTGTTTATTTCTTTTATATTACAACGTTTGCTTTAATAGGCTTAATTATTCTAACAAAAAATCGATATTCACAAAATTGCAATAAAATTTTTTACCAAAATGATTTTTTTTTTTTTTTTTTACCAAAAGGTAAGAAAGCCCTAGTAATTGTTGAAGCAGTATTATAAAAATTATTTATTTATTCCTCTCTCATTATAGCAATTAATTTGGCTTACTTTCATTTTGTTAAGAAAAAAGTTTTCTCGAAAATTATTTTAATAACCTATAATATGACAATGATTTAACAACACCTGAAAATATCTGTAAAAAAAATATATAATTTTTTTTTTTTTACTATGATAAATTTAATTTTGTTGTTTAAATTAATACTTTTTTTTTTTTTTTTTACAAAAATGAATAAAAGCTATAGTAATTGTTAAAGCAGTATTATATAATGTATTTATTTATTCTCCTCTCATTATAGCAATTACTTTGGCTTTCTTTCATTTTGTTAAGAAAAAAGTTTTAATGAAAATTATTTAAATCACCTATAATATGACGGTAATTCAATAACATCTGAAAACATCGGTTAAAAAAAAAATTTCAATTAAAAAAAAAGTTTATTTGGACAAAATTTATATATAAAAAAAATTGTTACGTACAAATAAAAAATAAAACAAAACTTTACCCTATTCACATATTCTTTTATAACTGATTGTCAGTCACAGTTTCTTTATACATACTTCCAAAAAAAAAAAAACAATCGTACCACTTTAAGGACTGAATCTCAGATTTTATTTATTTGAAATAATTAACTGCCTTTAGGAATAAATAAAGACTACGGAAGATTTAAATTAACTGAAGGTAAACAAAAAGATAAAATATGTTCCTGGGTCGAAAACGAATTCTCGGAAACGAGAGAATTAATATAAATGCAAATATATTGTTTGGAAGCTGAATATTTTAGAAAAAAAATAATGCATAATAATATAATGCAGGGTGAATAAAAAGATAATGAATAATAAATAAATATTTCTACGGAAAATAAAAGAAATTTCCTTAGAAAATTCACTTTCAGATTGACACACTAAAAATATATTAAAGGATTAATATATTTTAAAATAATTGCCAGC